ATCGAGAGACGCAGGGACATTTATTGCCTAGGCTCGCGATTTGTTGGGCCCCCGTGATTTATCAGGCGGTTGATGTCAATTTCTACATCAACGTATGTACACATCAACTTCAATTGAAGAACAAACTTTATTTTCGATACGTGACACGTCTGATTTTAAATAGAATATGAAGTTTGCTCGTCAATTTACATTGTCCACTGAGATCCGCGCTAAACTTTCATCAGCCTTTCTATTTAATTATCGTTTTTACGCTATGTTTACGCTATTTATTTATTCGTCCGAGCGAGTAAGGACGAATCGTTTAGAATCTGAGGTTTTCGTAAACGTGAGCGAGCGTCTTTGACGAAAGACGGAGGGAACAAGGACGATCGAGATCATGCATGATTTGCTTGTAGGAGCGGAGGAAATTCTTTGCGGATAGAGAGAGGAAGAAAAGGGGTTGCCGTGGGATTCGCGTGAAGGGGGGCTAGAGGGGTCAGACAGGTTTTGCACTACTCTTGCAGTCTTAAGTTGCAGGCACGATCTTCTCTCTTACCTGAGATGATTAAACCCGCGGCCAAGATAACGGCTATGAAGCGAGAAGTGATCCAGCGTATTCTCCCGTCCCCTCCTAGTTCGGTCCCCTTGCATTCCGTGATGGTATTAACCCTAGAGCCAAGCGGAATGCTGGAGCACTAGCGACTGGCTGAATGACTGGCTGGTTGAATGGCTAGCTGGCTAGCTGGTTGCTTTCTGATTACTGTAATATGGACGGAAAAAAGAAACAAATGCAGAATTAAGTAAAAATTCATCAAGCTAATAATTGTTAGTAATTTGATAAATTTGATATTTATACAAATGAGAAAGAAACTAAAAAAAAAATATTCGCGATAGATATGCTTCTCATAATTTTTTTATATAACAATAGCGTGCAGATTACGTGTCGCCTTATCGAGAATGGATATCAATTTCGGTTGGCTACTTTTGAAACTATATTTATTATTACGCTTATGTATATTCATATAGGATAATATTTCAAAATTATGTCAGCGTGATGGAAGCAAGCGAAAAAATATATTAATAAAACAATAACATCATATCTTACAAAGATTTCTTCAATTATTTAAAGTAAAATCGCGTCTTTTTTGAAGAAATCTCTTCTTTGAGAAATCTCAAGCAATTAAACATACATTAATCTTTCTATCACCGATTTACAAATCAAGATAATGACCGCGTGATTTATTTTTCCTGTTAAATGCTGCTCCATACTTTATATGCGAAATCATTCGGTATAGAATTATTTCCCGACAATATTTTTCGTTCGATACTTCAACGCATCGAAAAAAAAACGCCACAAAGTGAAAAAAAAAGACGCCGTCGTTCTCTCATCGGCCTCATTACTTCCCGATTCCGTTTTCCTCCCGGCGCGAGATTGACTGCACATCCTGTACGAATTGATCAAGAAGCCGTCGCCGCCGTTAGATATTAGCGCGCGATATGTGCGACTAATTATATCGAGCATTATTAATCATCTCCGGGGTAACGTTCCGTGCGATCTCTCGTGGATCCCGATCTCATTACGACTCTGTTGCATTCCTAGCTAATTATCATCGCTGCACGTGGGTAAGCACGTGGTCGACGCGATCGCGGGCGTGCGCGCGCGCGCGCGCGCGGGTCGTTTTAATCTGCCCGGCGAATCTAAGCTGAACGCGCAAATTGCGCGCACGCCATGCCGAATTGCATAATAGATCGGTCTGAAGCGATAATGACCGGTGGTCTCTATCATTTCGGGTGCCTTATCGCGGGGCTCGTTACCGTCGGCGATCAGGCCGGCGCGATATCCTCGGGTTTTACAGGTGTAAATTTATTCCCGCGCCCCGTCGAAGAGGCGTAATATATCGTCTCATTCACGCGGCTATTCGTTATTCGCGCCTGCGGCCAGGCCGCCGAGCGTTACGAATCAGGAAACGGAATTAGGGAAACGGAAGGAAACGCGTGAGGAGGAGCGAGACTAGTTAACGGTGACGAAGCGTAGATATGTACGCGCGTTATTGCTCTCGGAAGTCTGGCTAGCAGGGCCGGCGGCGTCCGGAGCGAAAATCGAATTTGTCGAAAGAGACATTTGAATGGATCTAGTTTCAGTATTATGTATATCAATTTGAGGAGAAATTATAATTTAGGATCACGCACTCTAAATTATATTTTATATTTCCAAATTGTTTTTATAATTTTAGAAAAAAAAAAAATAATTCTCTATATATGAATAAGATGTTTAAATATATAATGTAATTTTATATGTATATTTAATATTATTAGAATTTAATATCTTTCAGTACAATTTTTTTTAAATATTAACATTTATTTTATAGAGTATGTAATTTTTAATTCAAGTACGATGAAAAATATACATTTATTTCATTTGCCGAGTTCGTCCCTGAGTCGATTCGAGCAATTTCTGTGGGTTCGCACCAGGACATATCTCACTTCCTGTCCTTTCCTATGGCGGAATGCCCTAAAGTATCACCCTAGCCTGATCTTGACATACGTTCGCTGCGTTTCGTTTGGCAGACAGCATCTGGAGCTGGTCTGTCGTCGATACGTAAAAGAGAGAGATTACCAACTTTCTCACTCTCGTTCTCTCTTTCTCTTCTTCCGTCCGCTTCCGTATTCTTTCCTATATATTATGTCAAATAATACATCAATGATTGTGTTATCTTACAGAATGTAAAAATTTTTAGAAATGAAAGAGATGTGAGGATTAATAATTAAGGTAAGGTAAGGTAAGGAGTAATAATTAAGATAAGAAAAGAAAGATCTCTTTCTTTTCTTCAAAAAATTTTAAACATTTAAAATTTATGACATAATAATGACATAAACATAATAAATTTATGACATAATCTAATTATTATTTTTTTTTACTTTCTGAAGAATATTATATTTTAAGATCTTTATTAGAGAAAAATTAAATAAAATACATATTTACATTTAAAGGAAAAAAATAAATAATAAAATTTTAATAAGATAACAGTAATAATTAAAATAAAATAAGAAGGATTTTATATTATACTGGATATACATTGTGTTATATTAAATTCTAAATAAAAATTAAAATTAAATTTAAAAAAATCTTGTTTATGTTACATCGGATATCCTAAATATTTTTGATATCTTTTTTTATTATATAAATTCCTCAAGCAATTTTAATGATTTTCGATGTGTTTTAGTAGAAATGTTCAGACTTTTCTTAAATTGATCTTATATAAAGACTTATATAAAGACTATGAATTTCATTTCTTTTTTCTTCTTGATAGTTAACATCAAAAGCAATAGTTCTAAATACGTGAAAATAATTAAATCTATAAACACGATTGAGCGTCAATGGAAAAATAATTATTTTAATCGTATTCTGTATGCGCGTGAAACATCGTAACTTCCACTTTTCAACTGCCCGAAGAGCAATGGAGTGGTAAGAAAGGAAAGGAAAGGAAGTACCGAAATAGATGAGAATATTCTTCATAATTCCGATCGAGGAGTAAAAAAAGAACTGTCAAGTGTTTGAAATATGATGTTGTACGAGTCGCGTTGTAAGCCACGATTGTAATGTTATTTATTTCGATGGGTAAACTTTAATATAAATTTCGCATCCTATATTCCTTATAGTATATTTTTTATATGTACATAATTAAACACTCAGTAAAATAAAAAAAAAATTAAGACAAATTCGCACTGGCTATAAATTTCATTTTTTCATTTAAATCTTTTGAGTAATAACAATAATAATCGGGAGTAACAGAATGTTTAAAAATTATTTCAATATTTTTAAATTTAAATTTATTTTAATCATGGCTTGTTGGTTGTCGATACGCTGTGACAGAACTATTGTTAGATGCCCTTTTCGTACTTTCGTATTTTCTTCGACTTTATTTCTTTTTTTGTTCTATTTCTATATAATAATAATTTAAATATATGATATGCATGATTATATATTGTCAATTTATGTATACTGATTTCATTAATTAATAAAATGTGATAGACAAAACATATTTATATTAAAAGAATATTTATTTTTTCTCATGTGCATGAATTTCATGATATTTTAGTAGCCCTCAAAATGTATTTCATATCGATTGCTGCATTTTTCAAGCAAGCCATATATAATATAAAGACCATATCAATAATATAAAGGCCATGTCAAAAAATTTTAATTGTAATCATATTTGGACTGTGAAAAATCCACTCTGATTGATCAATTTGTTTATAATTTTATGATTATGACTAAAATTTCTTCACGTAATGGGTTTAAAGATCATTCTACATAAGCTGCTTATGCACATATTGATGATGTGAAGACCTTTGTTGTAATAAATGTTTATAACTATAAGTCCATAAGAAAACTGAGCAATCACAATCAATTATTCTTCGATGGCAAGAATAATCAATTGTAATTGGACAATTTTCTTACGGATTTACAATTACGAATAAAAATTTGTTACATATAAAGATCTTGAATTGCGGCATCCAATCACATCGCTATGTACTCTGCGTCTGCGAATTGTGTCTTATGTGTTTCAACTTATATAGGGTGCAATTCACTTGATGCTACAAATGCTTCGAAGCATTTTTTAATTAGCCAATTGATAAAATTTTTTGTTCTGATTCATCAATCAAACGCTTTGAAATATTTGTAACGTTAAATGAACTATAATCATAAACGAGTCTTAAAACTATCTTTGATCGATATTTGATCTTTGCATGCTGCTCGCGTGACCATATTGTTGGTTGGAAATCGAATTGAAGAAATAGTTGGAATTACAAATTTCTATGTAATACTAGACTGCTAATAAATATAACTGTACATGTATAGATGGTGCATGCGTCACCATATTTCGTGCAGACATTTTATTAGGATGTCCAAAATGTTACGTCATCACAATAAGAAGATTATGCATTTCAACATATTATAAGCATAATTAAACTTAATAAATGTTTTTCGCAATATTTACATAACATATTTGATGAGATTTATTATTTGTCTATTAATGGCTATGGTCAATGTAACACTACAAATGCTTCGAAGCGTTTGATTGGTGCATTAGTAATAAATTAGTAAAATTTTTTGTTTTGTCCAATCAAAACAAAGAAACTTTTACTAATGCACCAATCAAAAAATGTTTCAAGCATTTGTAATCCTTGACCATATTCAATAATATGTACATCGTTGTTCAAGAACCGAACATCCGATACAATTTGCCTACGTGAAATATGGCTGCCATCCTCACCACTATTATACCTCGATTCACTTCGATAGGCTGCGTTTTGATATTCACTGCAAATATTGAAAATCTATAATATACGTGACCTGAACTATATATTTTCAGTACTAGCAGTGAAAATCGGAACACAGCTCTAGTATATAAAAGTCTGTGATTGAAACCAATAGCTGCTATTGGTAGTCAAACGCGATTAGCCATTTCCGTTGGGCATGACCAATCATCTTCACGCATTGTAAAAACAGCGATTCAATGCTTCCCTCTGCCAAACGTGCCCAATGCCGAAACAACACGAGGCCATCAGCTGATTTTTGGAGCATGGCCGTTGTCAGCGTTGTGTTTGAAGAGGTTTTTTCCCATCTACTCAAGGTGTAGTCATTCCAACATTAAGTTGCATACGCGCGATATGCTGAAACAAAGTTGCTGAGAAGGATTGGAAATCGAGTTTATACAATATCCGGAGAAAAAGGAAAATGAGCTCTAAAGCTGATATGAGATCAGGTGAGTCATAATTATTTTTTGCGAATCGAATCGGCAAGTGACATGTCTCGCGTTGATTCGCGATATGCATATTTCAGAAATGGCGCGATACACTCTCGAAATGACACGTGTAAAATCACGTAAGCGATTCGATGATTAAAATAGAAAAATCAGTGAATTCATGCAATCCTGTGTTTACATAATTTACAAGTTTTATAAGGTTGTTGTGAATAATTCTAAGAATGTTCAATCTAATTGTATTCTAGTTTTTCAGTTTTGAAAATCTTCAAAATATGTTTTTTTTCATTTATGAATAATCGCGAAAGTTGCCTAGATTAAAAAAAATTAAGTCTATATTAAATATATATATATATATATATATATAATTAAATTTGTTTATGTTTCATAGGACTGTCCAAAGTGACCAATGGTGAAGCTTCGACGAGAAGAGCAGTAATAACTGTTGGACTCATTTTTGTAGCCTCATTGACTGCACTGTTTTATGTATATACCAGTTTTCCTGAATTAGAAGAGTAAGACAGTTAAACATATTTTTACGTTCACATTTATATATTTTATATCAAATATAAATATGAATCTTTTATATTATTTTTTTACAGAGATGAAAGACAGTATATGAAGTTACCGCTTCATATAGAAGATGCCAAAAATTTAGGAAAATTATTAGAACGATATAAAGATTTATATTACTTCCAAGTACTGGCCGGCCTGTTCATCACCTATATTTTGTATCCTTGAGTACAGAAGTTTTGCTTTCAATCTGTTAAATTAAGTTACATAATATGTTCCTTACATTGTATCTCAACAGTTTACAAACATTTGCTATTCCTGGCTCCATCTTTCTCTCGATCCTATCTGGATTCCTATTTCGTTTCCCAATCGCGCTGTTACTCGTATGCACATGTAGCGCGATTGGCGCCACGATGTGCTACTTGTTATCCTCGTTGCTGGGTAGACGATTGCTATACCGATATTTTCCGGAAAAGGCAAACGAATGGACCATTACCGTGAGCAAGCATCGCGATAATCTGCTGAACTATATGCTATTCCTTCGGATGACACCATTACTGCCAAATTGGTTTATCAATCTGGCCAGCCCAGTGATTGGCGTGCCGATGATGCCATTCACTGTTGGTACCTTCTTCGGCGTCGCGCCGCCTTCGTTCGTCGCCATACAGGCGGGTCAAACATTACACAAACTCACATCGTCCAGCGACGCATGGTCGTGGAACAGTATACTCATATTGTGTGTGTTTGCGCTGCTTTCTCTGCTACCTGTAGTGTACAAGCAAAAGCTGAAGCAGAAGTTCGAGTAAATGCCAAAATGCTCCATTGACGATGCTTTCAAAGTGACATTCCGATACTATACAAGGAAAACTTGCCGACCACATTCGCACGGCGAAACGTTCTATTGATAAAGATCCTTTCTTAGGAAATTGAATCATACCAAATGTGTGAATAATGTTGGGATTAGGATTCGCTTTTCCTTGTCGTGTATGCAATTGTTTGCATTTGGACACATAGCTTATGCGTACAAGGTAGTACGACAAATTGTTCCGCGAGCACAATTTCCGCATAACTTATTTATTGTTGTTTATAATTTATTTCTAAATGTATCTTAAATTACATGGAGATATTTAAAGATTAATCAACTTTATTACTCAGCTGAAAGTCGACTTATTTTATTAGGAGTATTATAAATATGCCTATATTTTAGACAATACATCAGAAAATGATCTCAGGAAATTCTATGTTGACAGGCTGCTGAATTTTACATTTTTTATTTCATGCATTATTGTAACAGAGATAACACTGTATCTGAAATCTAAATCTATATAAAATTGTATATACACGAAAATATACTCATTGAGATTAAATAAAAAAGATATATTTGGATAAACTTAACATATAAATTTTATTAAATGCGGTTTTATCATTGGCTACATCACTTTGGCACGCATCCATGGTGTTTCTCTTACCGATGATACTAACAAAATGAAGTTAGATAACTGATAGAAAGATCAGTAGCATTGTACACTGGTAGACTCACGGGTCTCCAATACCACCAATTGTACCATACTTAAGAATATAAAAAAAGAAGAAAAAATAAAAAATATATAAATAAAATATAAAAAGAAAAAAATCTGTATAAAATATCCAGTATACTCACATGTATGTCCTGCAGATAATAAAATGGTCAAAGATCTGCAATGTTGAATGCACTCTGAACTTGGCATCATTTTTATCAGTCTTGCGCCAGCCGTGCATCGTACAACGATATTACTGCATTCAGGATTAGGCTGAAAATTTATGAATTGTCTGTTATAGCTGAAGCATTACAATAAGAATGTTTCACATACCAATGGATAAGGTGGCGATCCTGATTCATCAATAAAGATATATTTCTCGATACCTTGACTCCACCAATTTGGAGTCTCAGCTGGCTTTGGAAATAGCTTTCGCAATATCCTATTAGGCTTCATACGATTTACTCTCCAAGATATGTGAGTACTTGGGGAAATTGTATAAAATTTGTCCAAACCATTATCCATTACATCACGAATAGTTCTATAAAGGCACATTCAGTGTATATAATTAAAAATATGTATATAATTAAAAATATTGTACAAATATCTGCACACATGAAAACTTACTTGAAAGTCTCATTGTTAGAAGAGATTCTTTTAGCATCTTTATCAAAGATATCATGGTTATTCCAATACAAATCAGCTAAATCTTTCAACTTCACTCTTGTATCATTCTCTGCTCTAGTATAAGGTATACCGATATTGAAGGATCTGCTAATATTATGACCAGTCAGATCTAATACAGAATGGACTACAGTGCATGGCCAGCAGTCCATATCGTCGACATAAAAATATGGATTCTCTATCAAGCACCATTCATCATACAATTCTAAAATAATAAATATTAATAAAATATTTATATTATTTTTCAAGTATCTTCATTATTGCAATTATCCAAGTTATTTACCAGATAACGATGGGTACAAGTTGAGGACGGGTATGGCTGCTTTGCGTAATACATATAAAGCAGGATAAATAGAATTTTGTGAGATTCTTATAAATACAATGTTCAACCAGTTTTGGTTGCGTAAACATAACAGTACGATTAAGATTATTAAAACAAGCAATAAAATGATTCGCAGAGGCCTCGATGGCCTATTCGTTTTTTTCGAATACTTCGCTTCCAATTGTTCGAAGCAAGCTTGAAATATTTTTGATGTTTCCACCTCCGAAACATTACAGGCAGCCGCGTATTGTCTGATTCGTTGTACACTGTCTCTATATTCGTTCAAATCGACCATAATCACAAATCTCTCGGCACATCGACCGCGTGAAACTTAAATCGCGCGTTATATATATTCCTATTTACATTCTGAAGCATACAACAGTTCTGCATCTGACAGTTTTGTTCTGTAATATAATTTGCATTGATTCTTATTTGTGTATATGTGTATAATCACAGTTGGAATGTGGCAGTGGAAATTTGTCCTGATAGACTCCTCTATTTTATGTTGGGTGTTTTTCATTTACTGACTCAAGTCAACATCAGCATTGTTCTATCTTTCTTGACATTCAATGAATAACAAGGACAAAATGATACTTGTGTCAATTTGTGTCGCTAAATGGAAAACACCCCAAATTTTTAAAGAAACACTGCTCCATCTAGCTTCAATATGATGAGGATACGCGACCGGCATGCAGCCACATGCAGCCATTCTGATTGTGAATTGTGAGTTGACTCGAGAATGTTCGATATTTTTTGGTTAGACGACTTTTATTTTGGTGATGTATTCGTTCGCGAAGCTCGATGTTGTATGAAGTAATAAAGAGGAATGTGGATTAGTTTAAAAAAAACTAACAGTTAATTCACAGTTAATTTCACAGTTAGTTTAAAAAAAACTGGCAGTTAATTCACAGTTAATTGATTTACGTTCGATTATTCGGTAATTCAATCCTAATCTTTTTTTTTAACAAATAACTTTATGATTTTAAAATCTATTGGAATCTATCTACCACGTGGTAAAAATGCTATATTTGCAAAGTTCGATATTCCTTTGAATAGTTTGATAATTCCTTTGAATTTAGAGATAACTCTAATTCAAATTTTGATTAAGGATTATTTTAAGCAATTGTTTAACTTAATAATTAATTAATAATTAATTTATCCAGAAATTGTTTAAAATAATCTTAATTAAATCTTTTCTTCTATATGTTATAAAAGATTAATTCCATTTACATTAATCAAATTACAATTATTATTTGATAAATTAATCATTGATTAAATTAGTAGGAGTTTGATGGAAATCGAATTAATTCAACTAATAATCATTTCAATTAGCTGAATATGTAGTTTATATAAACTTTTCAACTTTTCATATAATTTATCAATTTCTAATTTAATTTTTACAGTTGTTATCAAGCATATAAAAAAAAAAAGAATTGAGAATCAAAGAAAATATCAAGAACTGAAAATTATCAACAGATAATCTAATATATATAATTAAAAATAAAAAAAGACATTACAAAAAAGTTATCAAAATATAATTAAACAATGGAGAAAGAAGAGAACAGGCGATGGATTATGAAAGAGTATGAAAATGTAAGTTTATTACTAAAAACACTGCTTCATTCAAAGCATATATAATATAAACTTATTTTTCTCAACAGTTTGAGGAATATACACCTAACACATCAGTTAAATCAACGGTATTAGAGAAATTTATGAAGGTAATATATAATAATAAAATGTGTTGTTATGAAATTAATGTATCAACATCTATAAATGACAATATTTTTCTTATTTCTTAGGATCTGAAGATAAACGTAGTAAAAGAAGAAGACAATGAAATAGAATTTGATTTGATTGGTTGTCATACCTCACTGGCCAATGCGTTTCGTAGAATACTTTTGAGTGAAATACCAAGCATGGCTATTGAACGGGTTTATGTCATAAATAATACCAGTTTGCTTCAGGATGAAGTACTTGCACATAGGTAAGAGAAATAAATACAGTGAGTTCTGTTTTTATGTTTATATGAAAACTTTGTACATGTGTTGTATAATTAACATGTATTTTATTTTAAAGATTGGGTCTTATACCTCTTCGTGCAGATCCTAGATTATTTGAATATCCTCCGAGTAATGCAAGAGCGGATGATGAGGTCAGTGACCAAGATACTCTAAGGTACGAATTGAAAGTTACATGCAGTGTGAATCCCCAAGCGCCGAAGAATTCTCGCCTTCCCGAAGATATGTACAAAAATAGCATAGGTACTTGACTAGATTATTACTGAATTTATTATTAAATTTCTGATCATATTAAATTGCAATAATTTTGTAATTTTACTTATTTTATTTTTTAATGTATTTAAATTAAATGTGTAGTAACAGAACTTAATTCAGACCTTTCATCTGATAAATAATTACTATCAAGTGTCTTATACGAAATTGAATTTTTATAGATTTATATTATGTGATTTTTTAAACATAATATTAAATAATCTAAACAATAACATACTATATTATTTTTTAGTTGAAAGTAAGGATATCAAATGGGTGCCTATAGGTCGACAGGCAGATATGTTTCCACGCGGAACGGAACAGTTAGGTGTCTTATACGACAATATATTAATATGTAAAATGCGTCCTGGTCACGAAATCCACGTGTTTATGCACGCAGTTAAAGGCATTGGCAAAGATCACGCCAAATTCTCTCCTGTGGGTATGTAAAAACTTTGCAAATTAAATATTTTTGCAGTTTATATTTTGATGATATAAATTCTTAGATAAATATATCTTCGATTTATAAGTTGTAGAAAATAAACTTTATTTGTACTAATGTTGTATAATAAAATTTGTTCAGCTACTGCATCATATCGCCTTTTGCCGTCTATTCGGCTAACTAAACCTGTGAGAGATGAGGATGCAGATCTCCTGCAGAGTTGTTTCAGTCCCGGTGTAATAGAAGTAGTAAAACAAGAGACAGACTCGGGTGAGAAGTATCGTGAGGCACATGTTAAGAACGCTCGTTACGATAGCTGTTCCAGAAACGTCTATCGTTATGATCACTTAAAGAATTGTGTAGAATTGAGTCGGATGAAGAGACATTTTATCTGTAAGTACAAATATCTAGAATTCGTAGAATATAAAAGAAAACGATTAATTAAAACTTAAATCATTAGAGCAAGTTTATATAAATATTTCAATATTGCAGTTAAATATTCTAGAAATTCCTTGTTTTTTTCTCTTGATTACTGGATATTGTAGAAATTGCTTACGATAATTGGAAAACTTTATACAGATACGTACATACATACATATGTATACAATTTCGTGTGCTTTCGATTTTTAGTCACTATAGAGTCTGTGGGAACGTTATCACCTGCTATACTATTTACGGAAGCTGTTAAAGTTCTGAAGAATAAATGCAGAGCATTTCTCGCAGAATTGGATCACGTAAAATAGTTTCAAAGTAATCTTCTTGGTGAGATAAATCATCCAAAGATTTGTCGCAGGAAAGTTGGCGTTTTATGAATAGCAATAAAACCTTGTGACCAACAATAATAACAGCAAGTAAATCAGTATCAGTTAATAATCTGCATTAATTTACGTTGATTTATTTTTATTGATAAATAAAACTACTTTATTGAAATTAAATGCCTTAATTAAATTTATTGAAATAACCCTTTTAATTATTAATCGTCAATCATAAACTATCTTTATAATTATTTTTTTACATTAGAACTTATTTTAGAATTACGTTAATATTTTATAAGTTATAAATAAATAAGTTATAAATATTTTAATCACTCAATCGTTTCTTAAAATTTTGCTCAACGATTAATAAATTAATCATTAATACAATTAATTATCAATTTTGTTACATCTCGCTTAAATATGTTTTAGGTATATGTGAGATTCCGATGACAGCTGTTGACTGCCGAAACGAATTCATTACAGCTGAAGTAATATATTTACATGCTATTTTTACTAAAATTTTTGTAATATACGTATAATAAAATTGTAACGATCATAATTTTCTATATCAGTATTTAAGGTAAACTGATCTTTTGAGAAAAACTTTATAGACATATATATATATATATATATATATATATATATATATATAATAGTAATGCAGAAGAAACAAGAAAAACT